TGTCCAGTCTACAAGGTCCAGTCTGCACAAGTTCATTCTGTCACTCATCTGCTGTGTCTGTTGTGTAGATCATGGAAAAGAAGAGAGAAATGAGGGCAATCAAATCATCCTCCATGTTTCCACAGCAAAACCCATCTGTCTTCTTCACAGGACAGCCTCTCACTGAAGTTCACTCTCACCCATTTTCTAATGAGTTTCTTTGACTGCTCTATTTCCTGGAGAGGCAGCAGGATGTCATGGAAATGACCTTGGGTGCAGAACGACTTTATTTTAAACCCTCATTTCCTCTGCTTATGAACTATGTGGCCCATAACTCCGCCAGGTGTCAGTGTGCTCCCTGTGACAAGAGATGGCATCATACCCTGATCAGGCTGCTGTGGAAATCACATGAGTTGCTGCACGGAGAGCAGAGCACAGCGTTCCGTTAGCACAGAGCCTGTGTTCATGGACACACAGTTTTTCCTCAGTGGTCCCCGGGGGAAGGATGAGTAAAGGGTTCAAGAGCTGCCTTAGGCAAGGAAAATGACAGCAGCAATAAGGAACAGAGAAACTCCAAGAAAAGGTTCCCTCAGCTCGAGAGCCCCCACAGCCCTAAAGGCACAGCAGCAGCAGCCCAGCTGACCTACGCTGAGCCCCCAAATCAGACCAGGAACAAGGGTCTGAGTGCAGGTGGGCTAATGAGGAGGTAATTGTGAGAACAAAAGGAAGATTATGGAGAGCTTGAAGCTGCAATGGAGGAAAACCAAAACAGGGTGTACCAGTGAGCTGGTTACTGACATGGAAACACATTCTGAGAGGCCACAAGATGGCAACCCAGAATAATCCCAACATCCACTGCCTCCTGCCCCCACTGGGGACTTGTACCCCCACTACTGTTAAATTCTCAGCACTTCTGGGCTGCCCTGCACCAGACTGAGCAGGTTCCAAAGGGCAGAGAAAGCCCTCAGCAGGGAGCAGAGGCCAGGCTCCTGGGTGGGGCTGTCAGAGGGCAGGGACATGCCCAGCCCACTGCAGAGGGCTCAGGGTGGGGTGAGGGGCAGCATTCAGCGTCTGCTAGGCCAGGTCAGTGGCTGAACAGAGATCCTGCTGCAATGTCACATTTTACATCATAAGGCTCTCCTTCAAAATGAGTGAGCAAAATACCTTTCAGAAAGATGTATAAAACACATTTAAAGTAAGAAATAATGGGTGCTAAAATAAAAATACTCACTTACTTGAAAATAAGTGATCACTTTGTGAATTTCCATGTGCTTGAAAAGGGAATGAGCACTGTGACCCCCTTTTCTCTGATGAATATACACACCTCACCACACACATCTATGCACATATCAGAAATGCATACATGTGAATTAATCTAGAGACGTTCCCAAAGAGGTGTGTTCATAAAGCACACTCCATGGAAGACCCATCATGAATTCACTAGAGAACAAATCTTTAAAGTTAAAACTGCAAAATCTCTTTGTCACAGTGTCATGTATGTCTCTCAGATTTTGGAAGCACAAATAGATAAATAAAATAAGGAAGCACAAATTAAGGTTGAGCCTATGGACAAAGACATTCTTTTCTTGTGCCATTGAAATGTTTACGAGACTTAATCATGTCCTTGATGGAAACAAATTGTCCAAACGGTAGGTATTATTGTTAATTCTCCCCTTCTGGACAATGAGTCATCTTTAGTTTTTAGCAAAGAAGATGAAAAGGGGCTATTGAGAGTGTGTGGTGATGCAGATGGGCAGGGAGGAGAGAATGTGGATATAGATTCTCCTCCCGTCAGAGGGTCAGCATTTGGAAAGTGCTCTCATGCCCCTCATTAACTTACTTAGTCTCTCTGAGACATTGTGTTCTCATCTTGGAAATGGGAATATCAATAACATATGCCTGTCGGGATGTTTGTGAAGACAGAATGAAGTAGCGGATGTGGAAGTGCTCTGTCAAGTGTAAGGGATGTATAGATGCAGGTCACTGGGTTTGGAAAGGAGATAACGATGGGTGTCGCACCCCTGGGCACACTCTGGCCATGAGTAGGACACACTGACAAGTCACTCAGTTATTTCTTGCGCTTTCTTCCACAGGCCAGTGGCAGGTGATGGGACCAGACAAGCCCGTCCAGGTTGTGGTTGGGGAGGACACAGTGTTCTCATGCTTCCTCTCTCCTAAGACAAGTGCGGAGGCCATGGAAGTGCGGTTCTTCAGAGATGAGTTCCGTGCTGTGGTGCACCTGTACAGAGAGGGGAAAGACCAGCTCCATATGCAGATGCCGGCCTATCGAGGGAGGACTGAATTACTGAAGGACTCCATAGTGGAGGGGCGTGTCTCCTTGAGACTGAAGAAGGTCACTCTCTCAGACGCTGGTCTCTATGGATGCTGGTTCAGATCCCAGAATAATGACCAGGAGGCCACCTGGGAGCTGCATGTGTCAGGTTAGTTGCTTCTTTCAGAAAAGTGATAACTTTGTTTTATGGTGGAACCACTTGGGACTTTATGAACATATTGTTGAATTAAGAGTCTTTTTAAAAATGTTCTCCTGTCATTTAGTTAGAACATGGCATCCTAAACTATCAGTTCTCTCTGTTTTGTACATATAGTTCTTTCTTGGTTTTTTTTGTTTGTTTGTTTTTTATCTGTAGATTTAGGTAACCACCACCACATCAGGTTATAGAGCTCTCCCATCACCACCAAGATTTCCTTCTGCTACCCCTTTGTAGTCTCAGCACCCATTCTCACCTACCAGCCTCCTCAACCCCTGGCAATCATGAATGGGTTCTGCATCTCAATAGTTCTGTAATTCCAGGAATGTTAAGGTTCATGGCACAGTGAAAATACCGCTTTGCTTTTCCCCTTAAAGACACAGTAAGTCACACAACTATAATTCAACAAAGGATACCCTCATCAGCACACAAACATGTGAGAGATCCACACATCAAGACCTCTGAAGGTGGGCATATGACAATAAGAAGGGGACATGGGAAGGGGAAAAGACAAAGATGGGGGTGCTAGATGCAGTTAAGCACTCTCTGTGGCCCCAACTGATGAAGTAGTGGTGGAGGAGCCAGGCTTTAGCCCTCATCCAGCAGCCTGGAGGGTAGGAGAGGCAGAAGCAACATTCTGGCCTGAGTAGGCTGTGCCCATTGTGGCTAAACCTGGTAACAACGACAGAGACATGGCAAAGAGGTGTGGCAGCCATGGACTAACAGTTGCCATTAGTAACAAGAAGACAAAGCCACCTCCCCTTACTTAACCCATGATGCACACAACTCATGGTGAAACTGGAAGGAGGTAGTGGATGTGCCTTGGATAGATAGCACTGAGTGGCTGGCAGCCTCTATTACAAGGAAGCAGAACCAGGAACTCACAGGCCTGGAATCCATCACTCAATACGTCCCAGCATGGGAAGGAGATGGTACCCTGGACATAGAGGGGACGCCCGCCCCCTCAGGAAATATGGGGCATTTTCCAAGAATGAGGGGGATGTGCCACGGAGATCCCAGAAGTGTCAGAAGTACATGTAAGAGAAAACAAAAACTTGTGCTATACCACCATCTACTGGAGTAAAAATGAAACACCTCTACTGATTAGCCTACTGAATTGTTAAGAACAAAACAGTATTTAGAAAGAATAGAGCTCTCTGCCTCAAATGCCCAGGCAGAGAGAGACACAATCCATCAAGTACCAGGAATAATCAAGGCAACAAGGTAATCAATGTAACAAGCTAACTCAGAAAGAAAAGGAAAATTCTCCAGAAAACAAAGACATGGAAGACTGATTTAAATGACAGTGAATTCAAGATTGAAAATATGAAAAACCTCAAGAATATATAAGAAAATTCAGGCACTTCAATGAACTAAAAAATAAAATCAATGAGCGAAAAGAGTACTTTACCAAAGAGGTTGAAACTATAAAAAAAAACTCACATAAAATTTCTGAAGGTGAGAAACTCAGTCAATGAGATGAAGGATGCATTACAAAGCCTTGGAACAGAGCAGACAAGATGGAAGAGTGAATAGGTGAGCTCAAAGACAGAAATCTAGAAATGACTTGGGGATGAAGACAGACAGAACTGAGCATTTTTTAAAAATGATAGAATTCTAAGAGAGCTACCTGACTCCTTTAGAAAGGGCAACATAAGAATGACAGTTGCACTAGAAGGAAAAGAGAGGGAGAAAGGACCAGACAGCCTATTCAAACAAATAATCAATGAGAATGTCCTAGACCTGTGGAAAGAGCTGGATCCTCAATATCAAAAAACTAACAAGGCGCCTAATTATCTCACTCCAAAAAGGCCATCTACAAGGCACATTATATTAAAATTGTCAAAAATTGATGAAAAAAAAAAGAATTCTCAAGGCAGCCAGGGAAAAGAAGATGGCAACTTATAAAAGAAATGCCATTAGGTTATCATTGAATTTTTCAGCAGAAACTCTACAAGCTAGGACAGAGTAGAATCAAATATTCAAAATTGGGAAAGAGAGAAATACCAGCCAAGAATAATATATCCAGGAAAGTTATTCTTTAGATATGAAGGAGAAATAAAGACTTTCCTAGACAAACAAAAGCTGAGGAAATTTACTGCCAGAAGGCCGGCATTACAATAAATGTTGAAAGGAGCGCTTTTCTCTGAAACAAAGAGACAAAACTATAGTTAAGTTTGAGTGAAATGACAAACAGACAAAAGAAAGAAATTGCAACTCTATTTCAGAATAGAGTGCTAAACGCTTAATTCTAACATAATGGTTAAAGGGGAATAGGTATTTTTAAAAGACTGTAACTTCAGCAATTTGGAAATAAACACCCAACGTAAAAAGGGATAATTTGTGACTTTCTAAACATAAAAGGAAAGGAGGGAAAACTGCACGGGTGAATGAAGATAAGATGCAACCAGAAGAAAAAGGGCTATTGAATGTATGAAACATTTATATTTACATAAACATAATTGTAATCACAAAACAAAAATCTAGAGCTGAGACAAATAACATAAATAGAGAGGTAATGGAGAAAAGAATCATGGAAAGCCACCAAACTAAAATAGCAAACAGGAAAAAAGAAACTGGAGATACAGAGCAACCAGAAAACAACTATTAAAATGATTGTAGTAAGTCCTCATATAACAATAATCACCCTAAATGTAAATGGACTGAACTCACAATCAAAAAGCACAGAGTAGGAGCATGTATTAAGAAAACAAAGCCTAACTATATGTTGCCTTCAGGAGACCCATCTCAGTTACAAAGACAAAACATAGTCTCAAACTGAAGAGAGCGAGGACCATAAGACGTCCGGCAATTCTGTGCTGGTCCTCCAGTCCTGGGACCCTAAGTCAGTTCACCTACATCTTTCCACCATTCAGAGTTCTCCTATGGTTGCCTCTTGTGTTATCTCCAGGGTTTGTAATTCTACACAGAGGGAAGAGCAGGGAGAGATTAGTCTATACCATGTTATTGAAACTCCCTTCCTTAGTGCTTACCTCATAGTTCCTTTATTTATTCACTCAACAAACATTTATATGGCTTCATTTGTTGGGTCCAGACCCAGGGGAATGGAAGACAACAACACGTGGAGGATAAGTTCTGTTTGGATCAGGGAGATGGCAATAAGAAATCATCAAACATGATTAAAAACTCTTAGCAAAGTGGGAATAGTGGGATCATATCTCAACATAATAAAGGCCGTATATGATAAGCCCACAGCAAACATTGTACTTAATGGGAAAAGGCTGAAATCTTTCCCCTAAAATCAGGAACAAGACAAGGATGCCCACTTTCACCACTTCTATTCAACATAGTTCTGGAAGTTCTGGCCACAGCAATCAGACAAGAAAATGAAATAAAAGGCATCCAAATTGGAAAAGAGGAAGTAAAATTGTCATTATATGCAGATGACATGATACTATATA